AGTAGGGAAATTGGCCGGTAGCTGCTGCAGGCTTTCGGATCTTTCCCCAGTTTGGGTAAGATAGTGATCATTGCCAAGAGTGATTCCTGATGGAAGCGGCCTCCATTGGTCAGAGCGTTGAGTGCTTTGGCGAGTTTCGGGATCAATGTTGCACTGTATTTCTTGTAATAGTCCAGGGCCTGGGGCTCTCCCCGTTTTAGTGGTCTTGATTGCTGGCAGTAGTTCTTCTACCGTGATAGGAACTTTGAGTGCCGCTGTGTCTGCTGCCTGGAGAGTGTAAGCGACGTAAGTCTCTAGGAAATTGTTTCGTTCCAGCTTGTGAGCATTCTCAGTGCCTGCATTTCCTAGTTGGGTGGTGTTGTAGAGGGAAGCGTTGAATGTCAGGAACTCTGATGCTATTTCCTCCTGTAGTATATTGGTCTTTCCTGCCTTGGTCTTAATCCGATTGACTTGTGCATGTGTTTGCAGTCCTCGGAGCATGCGCGCTTCTACTCGTCCTTCTTTGTTGGCGTGAAGGTAGAAGAAGCCCCTCGATCTTTGTGCTGTTCTATAGTGTTGGCTCGTTAGCAGTGCCAGTAATTTCCCCCAGGCTTCTAGGAGTTTGTTGAATACCGAGGCGACCTGGGAGTGCTTGTGTTGCGTTTCTATGGTGAAAATTATGTCAACCAGTTCTTTAACGTTTCGTTTGGCATCTGCTCGTTTCTGAGTTGCGATCCGGATCATGCAGCCTCTGATGACGCTTTTGTGGGCTTCCCAGATGGTGACATCAGATCGTTCCCCTGGCTAATTTTCATTGAAATAAGTGGTCAATGCTTGCTCAATTTGTTTCCGGGTCTGTGAGTAATGCATCGTTCAGTCACTATGTTCTCTTAGCGGGTCATTGCATTGGTGAATCAAGCACCATTCGTACCGGGAAGTGGTCTGACCAGGTGGAAACTCCTATGTGGGTTGATTGTAGTTGTGATAGGTTCTCTTGTTGTAGGAAGAGCATGTCAATGCGAGCATATCTTGAGTGAAAGCCCCATTTGTATGGGATGTGTCTGTCCCTCAGCGCTTGTGTTATGGGGCGTAGTGCTCTTCGGGCCTCTAGTGTCAGTGGGGATAGATCGTTGTAGATGGTAATTTCAGAACCCTGGAAGTGCCATGTCTTGCATGATTCTCTCCTTAAGCTGGTAGGAGTGGAGGCAGCAAATCAGGTCCTGTGGGGGCCTACAAGCGCCCGAGGTTGTAGTGCTCAGTGTGCTCTGTCGAATCGGATGTTGTCGGGGCTCTCTGCTCCCAGTATAATCCAGAATAGTGTGGCGAGTAAGCTCTCTGGATCCTTGTCCCCTTGGAGCTCTGGCACTACTCTCATTCTGATGTTGGAGCGTCTTCCATGTGTCGTCTCAGCGCTAGCCCTGTCTGGTGAGCGCTGTGTCAGTGGCTGTCATGTGTGTGTTGGAGGCTTGCACGTGGGTTTCAAGGGCCTTCAGGCGTGCATCATGTGCTGTTACCTCTGTTCGCAGTGCCGTTACCGCCATGGCGATGGTCTCATGGAGAGTAGCGGTCAGAACCTGAAGGTCCTGTTTCGTGACCATAGTGGCTGTTAGCTTCTTGAGGTCTGCCCCGATGTCAGAGAGCGTGGGGGAACCCCGCTTCCGAGTACTCGATGGACCGATGGGGTTTGGAGGTATTCGTCCATCGGGCCAGAGTTATCGTTCGCATTGCCATCCCTGGGGGTTTGGGGCACATCTGGGCATTTATTGCATACCATTTGAAGAGTTCTGAGTGTAGTGGAAGTGCTTATTTTGGCTTTGTCGCATGGAGCACTGTGTTTAGGTTGCCATCTCCATCTAGGCTCAAACCAAGCCCCCGCAATATGATTAATTTTAAACCCCAAATCACACACATATAACAGGTACTGAAATTTACAATGAACTATATTAAACATAATAAAAAAAAACGAAATTTAAACATATAAAAGTGAAAGCAATGCTCCCAATGCTACTAGTTCAGTATGTATCATTCTAAAATATCCATAAAGGAGAAATTGTTATTGTACGATGGTTTAGAACAACTTTTTAAGCTTACTCCATAGACTTAAAAATATAGATTTCTCCACATAATTAAAGCCACTTAAATATTCCATACCTGAATACAGATAGCTATTGTGTTAGTCCAGCTGGCCAAGAAAAAATGGCTGGCTTATTCAGACAAGTGATCACTATATATTAATCTCCAGACACGATCTGCCATCATCACAACATATCAAATGTTATTCATATAACCACCATCTTGAAGACAAATAACTTATTGGATTGAGTCAAACCATGACACATTTGTTGTAACACTTGCAAATTGTCCTACAAATACAAAAAAAGTCCTGTGGATACAAACACAAAAAAAACAAGTCCAAATTGCAAGATTTGCCTAGCTTTATTGACCCTATTCATGATTGTGGCCACCTCTAGAATAGAACATAAACTTAATAAACATAGTAAACATTTTACATTGTATGTTAGATATATTAAAGATGTGATAATTGCTTTTCAGGGGGATGCAATATCTTTATTAAGAGTAATAGATCTGCTAAACATGCTAAAATCTCCATTAAAATTAACTTTTGAAAAAATTCCAGATAGAGTTATTTTTTTTGGATCTCGGGATTTTCTTTCTCCAGCAGACTATGCTTTGAAAAGTGCTGAACAGCAATAATATGTGATGCATCAGTTTATAAAAAATATATATTACAAAAATTATATAATTTAATTTTGTTTGAAACAACAAACTGTTGAACATGTATGGAACCAAGGGAATTAATGGACTCCCAAATAAAAAGAACCATCACTACTATAACTTGACTTATTCTAATGCAGCAAATGTGACTAGTAAAGCCGTTAAGCAGAACTGGTGTTTTCTAAGTAGTGACTCTAAGGTATCTGTGGTATTCAATACATGACTTATGATACATTATAATCATTAGACTTGAACATTTGGTTTTAACTGTATTGCAAATTAAGCTGATCTCTCTTTTTTTAATTCTTTATTTTTCGGACAGTTTAATTTCATACATTTTATCAGAAAGACTTTATTTTTCTTGTTGCAACAGTACAAAATAGCAGTGTCATTTGTAACGGAGCTTCCTGTACCCCAGTTGGGTACCTCTGCTGACGGATGCTCCTAGTGCTTACCGTGGGCTCCAAGCACTTCTCCAGACACCATAAGTACTGCAGACCCCACGAACCGCTGCAGCTTGGTTGGGGTCTCGCCGTCTCCTACCCACCCTGGACCTACGACAAGGCTCCAGGTTCCAGTGGGTGAACCTCTCTTCCTGCAGAGAGCGAAGCAGGAACAGCTCTTACAAGAGCTAGTAATTATCCAAGGAAGTATAGTGATTATAGCAATCCCTTGTAGCAGTTTCCACCAATAAGAGACACAACTCTAGATTTAATGGTACAGCTGCTCTTTTATACAGTTTTTCTCCACAAGGTTACCGCCCAGGTGGACCTCATGGGGCACAGGACATGAAATGCATTATCCAGTAAAAACAGAGTTTTACACTCAGTCACTCCCATACAGTGTACACAATCCCTCCCCTCTGCCTGTGATATAACTAACAAAGACAATGGACTAGCTCAAGTAACTCTAAGCAGAAAAAACATAAATTTTTACAAAGTCTGAAAAACACCCCAAAACACCACATATCCCCACAAATGTCACATCCCCGGATAGCCCTGATCTGGGTGAACATCATATCCAAATATCACCAAGATCAGAGCAGGATATCAGGAAATTCCTGGAAGTCTCTTTTTCCCCACTGTGCACATGGTCCCATGCCCAAAACAGTTCCTAACAAAACAGTTCCTTACACTCGATGACAAAACACCCCTGGCCATTCGACAATTTAAGATGGCCGCCGCCATGTATTCAAATCTGTTCCAGTTAAAAGTCCAAGGGGCAGAAACAGTACTTTTGAACATGGGTTATCACAGGGCCCATAGTCCCAGGGTAGGAGGCTGGCAACCAGGCCCCTCCAGAAAGTAGTGGCTTACATTATTAGCTTAAATTATTACATTGTACAATAGAGAAAACCAAATGTAACTCTTATAAGACTAGTGATAAACGCCGTAACTATTTAAAATATATTGTAAACCGCCCTTTTTTATTTTTTATGAAGAACTGAAAACAAACATAAATAAGTTTGACTGAAGCAACTTCGACCATGTTGTGGCTATGGTTACTGTTGTGATACAGAAACCGGCTTAAGGTCTAACATTTTCTCAAGTTCAAGCTAGGTTAAAATAGCTAAAGCCAGTAAATTTAAATTGACATAGCCAAATGATCACTCCAATACAACTCAGAAAACCCCCCAAAATAAAATAAAATTAGAAAACTGATTCCAACTTTGAACCATGCCTTTAGATTGTGTTCCAACAATATTCAGTAGTTTACATCAAGGCAACCTCCACACCATGAGAGAGAAACCCACCACAGATCAACAAATCTTGCTTAACTCCATATCTCTCCCGTAAGAAAAGCCATGGATCAATATGTTTTCAAAAGACTTAGTGGTATTGTGAACTATGGTCATTAGTTTGTCCATAAGGTAATTTTCCTTAATCATGTGTAGTACCTCTGCCAGACTAGGGGCTTTATCTCCCAACCATTGAACTATTGAAGAAACGCCCAAGGATCGAAGTCAAATGGCCTGTCAAACATCTTGGCCAATAAATTTCTAACTTCCAGCCATAGTGGTTGTATTTTCATACAGTCCCACCACATGTGGATGTAGATGCCCCTTGCTCCACAACACCTCCAGCACTTATCTGTGGCTCCCCTGCACATTCTATATGACTTGTTTGTGGTAGTATACCAACACATGATTGTTTTTATTGCTTGTTCTCCATTCCCTAAACAAATGGATAAATTGCTTGCATCTTACCAAATGTTCTTCCACATCTCATTAGCTTGCTCATAGCCATGCTACCCCTCCCATTGCTTCACATACACCAAGTCCCCCCACCATGTAGACCCTGAGCTGATGGCATTGTAAATCAGGAAACACCCATTGAGTCAGTAAGCCAAAAAGCATGACCCTAGTACCCGGTCGAACACCTTCTTGACATCCAATGTCAGGAGCAGAGCATGTCAGCTTCGAGATTGCCGCCCATCAGAGCATGTCAGCTTCAGTATGAAGAACTGCTTTTCTCTAATAAATCCCACCTGGTCTTGGTGGATTAATTTCTTCATGATCGGGTTGAGGTGACAGGCAAGAATGCTATTAACTTATTTATAAGTGCGATCAGGTGGTAATTGTAGGGTCTTACCCTACTTGAGTAACAAAGCTATGGTGGTCAATTTGGTTTCTTCTGTGAAGGACTTACCCTCCCTAACTGCATTGAATAGGGTGATGAGCTAAGGGGTCAGTATGTCGCAAAGCACTTTATAATAGCCCCTGCTAAAGCCATATGGTCCTGGAGCTTTTGAGTCCTTAATAGCCACAATGGGCGATTGGACCTCCTCCAGAGTAATAATCGAGTCCAAGATAGCCTGGGTTTCTTCCGATAAGGTCAGAATCTGCAGCAATACCAAGAAAGATTGCAAGGTTGGAATGTGCATCTGGTTGTCAAATATTTTGTCCGGGGAGTAGTTGTATAGCCTAGTGTAGTAATCCTGAAAATCCTGCAAGATTTCTTTTGAAGAGTAGACCGTTCTAACTGTCTTGTAACTGTAACTATTGGTAG